TGATGAAAGATATTTTTTATTTAGCCTGTGGACTATCAAAGGTTAACTAAAAAAACTGAATCAAACAGATTTTTTGTGCGGGCATTCATTTGTTTGCAACACGCTTTTCAAAATCCATCAATTTTAGTCTTTGAAACACTCTCTGATAAGCCGAGACAGACTCAATTCGTTCTAGGCTTGTAGCAGAGCTAAGAATAAGAATTTGAAACAAAAATAGCGCTTCTAGTATATACCTACTAAAGCCTCTTCACAGACAAAAAATAAAGGAAAAAATAATATTTATTGTCGCGAAATCGAGTGGACCGCTTTTAGGGAGACTGCCTCTTGACCTGCAAAGAAATGTTGATACCAGTGGGGTTAATGTTTTCATACTCACACCTTGAATACGTTGTGGCCCCGCTTAAGGCAGCACCGCCAGAAACTTTTGGCATACAGTAAAACCCTGTGACTCAGAACCTGGATTTTAAGAGCCTGTTAGGCCAAAAATGAACTAGTTAAGGCCCCCCTATATACATGTAAGAACCTGTTTAGCCTAAAATTTGAAACAGGTTCTTATCTTCTAAAATCTATGGAAAAATTATGTACATGTACTTAGGTAAATATCAGGTAAGTCAACATTCAGAATTCTCTTTGGAGATGTAAGTGCCTTGTCAACGAGGTCAATGCTTTAGTTTCTCTTGTTAATTTATAGTAATTTTTAGTATACATAACTTCTAATTTGGTATGCAGATTTTTTTTTTCCTGGGAGAGGGTGTCTGTACAAACTGTCAAGGTCACCACATGGTCACTGCATGACCATTGTGTGACATAGTATCTCATGTGAGAGTTAAACATAAACTCATCTGAACATTGTACCCTTTTAAAAGACTTTCGAAAAAAGAAAAATGAGTACCTCTTTTAAATTGGGGCTGTAACTTTTCAAATTCCACCATTATGAATAAAAGAAAGCAAGTTAGCTATTCTAAGCAGGAAACAGTAAGCATTATTTTCACGCACCCTTCCTCCAATCCTTCTGCCCCCCAAAGTAAAGTGTGATGGTATTACGTGACTGATTTTACCTAACCAGAAATTCCAAAAACTACTGTCGTTCACATTATTTTGTCAATTTGGGTCCTAAAACTAACAGCAAATTTAATTTATGTTTCGTTTTTGTCTGATATTGCATTTAAATTAGCCTTTCTAACTGTCCTAGTGAATATATACAATTTTCTTTTTTTTGATGTGGTGATCTACAATTAAGCACATTTTCCGGGACATGACCCTTTCCTGTAAGGAATGATGTTTCACATGCAGAGCAAGAATTGCAATAAGATAGAAAGAGACATATTTAGCCGTCACATTTTAAACAGTTTAAACTTCAACATAAAGTAATGACAAACCTACCATCCTACCATCTTTTGGAAAATGCACTGAAAAAAAGTGCCAATGATAGCTTGATCGACAGACGTCTTTATTCAATGGATGTACACACACACACACACTAGCACACACACTGAGAGAGATTTGCAATCACGTTTTGGAAGGAAAAAGGTTTAAACTTCAACAAGAAACTGTGAAGAAAAAACCACAAAAGGTACTCATTGTAGCATCTTTTGAAGGAAACAATGAAAAAGCATAGTGTGCTAGCTTCAAACACATCTTCATTTAATTGCTGCCCTGGCTTAATGTGCTTTATAGACTTTAATAATTTATACTGTTTATCACCATAAGTAAAAACAACGAAAATTCCTGGGGGAATTTTCCCTTACCTTTGTCTCATTGATCTGAAACAAGGTCTAAGGTCAAGATTTGGAGAGCAAGACAACACCCTCCCCCCCTTGAGTCTCAGGAATANCCCCCCCCCCCACTCTCCTTCCCTGGTTAAATATCCAGTATTAAATACCTTTATCATTCTCAACTTTTTTCTGCAGAAATTTGTGTCTTTTTTTCTAACCTAGCCTCCCTCACAGTATTTTTAGGGGAGTTGTGTATCCTCCCTTTCCACAAAATGCCTGCTTAACCGACATCAACATTTCTAATTTCCATTTTTTTATTCATGAGGTACATGTAACCAATCAACAATGAGAGGTATTATGTTTAATGTTTCCAAACGTCTGCTTTAAGAGTTGTGGGCATTGTGTAGTGAGAAAAAAGCAATTACTCTAGCTACTAAGTGTGACAAACGCGTTTGTTCAAGTTTAATTTTTTATGTTTCCTTTATATAAAGTGGAATTATATTAACAGGAATTCTGCCAAATTTCGTCAGATTCTAATGAGTAGATTTTGATATTTTGTCATTTGTTAACATAGCCTATGAAAGTCAACAGGAGTATATACAGCATGCCCAAAACTTGTGCAAGCACTGAGATCACCACATGATGATTAGGTGATGAAAAGCAAATAAATTTGTTCTGACAATTTCTGGGCATTTTTCTCAGCTTGCCCTCAATTTTTTTCTTGAAAATCCCATTAACTTCAATGTTCTTTTGATAAAGAGTTATCAGGGAGTGTTTTAGTGGATGCAGCTTTATGTAATAGGAACTGAATGTGCTCAACTTCCTGTACTAAAAGCTTAAAAAAACTCTAACAAGTTGGAAAAAAATTAGAATCCATCAGAAAGGAGATCTGTGCAATTCACTAAGGATAAAGTTGTTGAGATTGGAGGGGGAAACATACAATTCACACTGCAAAGCAAGTCTTTAACGACGAAGTCTAGACACATGGACTTCATATAGTTCTTAATATACTACTAAAGTTCATAATTATAAACAGACTTCAGCCAATTTCTGCTTTGTCCTGATAGCACAAACTCACATCTTGTCATTATTTATCGTGAGGTTATTATTGTTCATTTGTATACTACTGTTGACACTCTCTGTAACTGTATAGATACATGTAATAACAGTTCTCTTGTCCAGGAATTTTAGAATGTTAATGGAAAAAAAAAAACAATTCTTGAGTTATATTTTCTTTTTATTTTCATTCTTTGTACAGGCATGAAAGAAAACCAGGGATTAAAAGAAGTAAACAAAGGCTTGGATTGGCTGGTAAGCTTAATTTATATGTTCATTCATGGTGTGCATGAAAATGCATTAGCAAAGAATAGTAACATTGACTACTAGATAAAATTATGGTAAGATGATTTATCACTCAAAATCTTGTACCAGCCTAATGAAACATCTTGGTGGCTGTTGATTGTGTGCAAGAAGTATTTGGAAATTGTGCAAAATTTCCAGCTGGTCACATGCAACAAAGAGGGTCTACCAGGAGGAAAATCATGCATTTTTTCTAGAGACTGACTTTTCACGGAGGACACTTGCTGTCATTAAATTCTCAACAACATCAAAGCTCTCAGAGACTCCACACAATTGTACGGACAAATATGAACTGTTCTTCTTTTAAAGATAAAGACATATTTTGAAATAACATCTGCGTTTCAAAAGATGGCCCTTGTTGCAGAAGTCTTAGTTAGTTTGCGACATTTTAAACTATGGTGATGTTTCGATACCACCCTTTGCGTTATTGCAAAATACGGCATTTAACTCTTCTGTTCTTAGCTCACAAATCGCGTCCACTCAATTTACCTGACCGGCGTCAGAGGTCATTCTTGGCCAAAATAGTTGCACTTTACTGAGGCCAAGGTTTGCGCCAACGCATAATGTGGTCTGACAATTGTGACGTATTTTGCGTTAACTCAATCTGTGTTCTATGTTTTAAAACCAAGGTTTGCGCCAAAAAAATAGCGCAAACCATGGCAAACTTAAAGAGTCACATCTTGAGAAAAGTCTTTCCATGTCCTTCCAATAACCAGGGGCACCCAACGACTGTGTCCTCCCAAAAGCATTGAAAACAACACTTTTTAGGCTACCTTTTAGATCTTTTAGATATACAAGGGCTTAGGTATTATTTTCCCGAAAATTTTAGATACAATTTAACGTATTACGAAAGTGAGAATTTTTGTGATTCCTCTCTCCATCACATTTTCGAATCCGAAAAGTTTAGGTTTTCTTTTTTGTAAGAAAATAGCCTAACCTGGGCAGTAAAATGGGAAACATTAAACTTCAGAAAATCGCAGGGAATTTGTTAGATAAGCGTCGAAAATTTTATATAAATGGTACGATGATCTAGAAATTTTAAGTCGTCCTCAAGTGATAGAAAATTCTAGGCAATATTTGCTTCTCCGAACATATATTTTACAGAAAATGCTCGTTGGGTTCCCTTGAATATATTCCGTATTTTGCGACAGCGCGCAATGTGTTTCCCAGATCGTGGACTTAACAGGCTTCGCTCTTCAGGCCAGGATTTGAGTTATTGCAAACTGTGGACTTTAAAAAAGGAGTCACATTTCGCAATAACTCAATCTGTGTCCAACCATATCAATCACCGAAAGTCACAGACACTTCTAGAAAAACTAGTGATTTTACAACCGTTTCACCGGTCCGTCGTCATCGGTCAAATTAGAAAAAACACTAACTTTTTCCTGCGCTAATGAAGAAACAGCTAACGCACGTGTTTTATGCTTAAAAGGTCGGTCTGTGACCGCTAGATTTGCATATCAGAAACGGAAACGATCAGTCATAGGCATATTTTCGTAAGCGTTCGCGTTATTTATTCGAGTTCACAATATTCATGTAGATTTGATTATGACCTGTATAGGGACGTAGATGGTGAAAAACTGCTCAATGCGCTCTTGATATTTTTAGAACATGTAAAAACGTGAAATTTAACTTTAACGACGCACAGCCGGTCTTGTTTTTTCAAAGTTCTTGTTGTACAATGCCAAAACAGTATTAAATATATTCTCCTTCGCATAAGAAACATTTCAAGGCAGGATACAGATACCTTTCAAGTCAATTCAGCGTCTTCAAGCCCGAATTCAACTCGATTGATCGACCCGTTCGTTCCTGCCAAATCCACATACTACTCGTGAAGTTCAACAAACAAGCCTAGTGATATCAACAAACCTTAACTACAGCTCCGCTTCGCTATTGAATTTAGTTTCTCAACTTCAAATGTCAGCTATGGACGAATTTACGGCTCCCTTGGTGGACTGGACGACTCCCGCGGACCTGCACAAGAGATTTAAAATTTTCAAACAAAAATGCAACCTCATCTTCGATGGCCCCTTAGAAAATCAAGCGGAGGATAAAAAGACGAGATTCATGCTTCTTTGGGCCGGCGATAAAGGCTTAGAGATTTATAAAACAGCTAAATGGTCAAGTGAAGAGGACCAACTCAAACGAGAACCCATATTTGAGAAATTTGAAGCATACACAAAACCCCAGAGCAATCAAATCTTACCAAAAGGTACCAGGTGCGATGCCTGAAACAAGAAGACATGTCTTTAGCAGAATTTCTGACTAGGGCCCGAACACTTGTTGACGACAGCGGCTATGGCCCTGCGATCAAAGAGGAAACCCTTCGGGACACGTTGGTATTCGGACTGAAATCAGACAAAGTCAGGAAGGATGCCATTTCCAAAGGACACTCTTCAACAAGTTTTTTCAACAAGTTTATGACCTGGCTAAAACAGAGGAAAGCACAAAGGCACAAATGCAAGCAATTACACAGGGAAACCAAGGTGGGATTGTACACTCTGTGAGGAGAAAGCAAAAACCAGATACCCGCCAAAGCTTGAACCGACCATACAGCTCCAGTGCAAATCAGCGCAAGGACGACTCCCAATGCCAAGTACCACCTGCAGACAAGCACAAGTTCAAATTCAAATTCAGTGGCTGTTTCAGGTGTGGAAACAAACACAGTACAACTGATACTTGTCCAGCCATGCGTGCTAAATGCCAATATTGCGGGAAAATAGGCCATTTTCAGAGAATGCGCATAAAGAAACGATTAAAACAAGTCAACGAGATTGCGCAAAGCCCAGATTACAAAGGCCAGGACATTTACCCGCAGGTAGACGACGAAGAAGACACAGATTATTATGGAGACAGCGACGAGGACTCTGAACCAGTTACTGTAGTCCTCGATACCATTACATCTGAGAATACAGTGGATGTTGTTAGCAGCTACCCTGAGAGGATCATCACTACAGTCAAGATCAATGATACTCGCCCCATTCCAGTGAAGGTTGATACTGGAGCAGACACTTGTGTCTTGACTACGGATGACTTGCAGAGGCTCGGTTTTTGTCTGGACATCAAGCCCTTCAATGCGTTCCTGAAGAGCTATGGAGGAAACACCATCACCAACTTAGGCACTTTCACTCTCAAGATAACCTTTAAAAGTAATTCAGCTTCCCCGAGTTTCAATATAGTCGAGGCCCATAGCTACCCATCCATAATCAGCTGCCAACTCGCACAGGAACTTGGTATCATAACTGGAAACATCCAGGAGTCCTGCACCTCTCAAGCGCGCCTCCAAGAACATCCAGGTGCCTCGGTGATGAGTCTTTCAAAATCCACTGTGTTGGAAGAATACCAGGACTTTTTTGACAAGATTGGCAGATTTCCAGGCGACAAATATCACATCCAGCTTATAGACAACCTAAAGCCAGTAGTCCACCCACCGCGCACAGTACCGGTTCACATTTTACCATTGTATAAAGCAGAATTGGACAAGATGATCGCAGACGACATTATCACAGAGGTGACAGAGCCCACAGATTGGGTCAATTCGATTGTCTGCATTGTGAAAGAAACCTCAGATGGAAGGAAGAAGGTCAGATTGTGCCTAGACCCCAAGGACTTGAATAAGAACATTAGGCGCGAGCATTACTACAGCAGGAATATTGACGACATCCTTCCCCTACTTCACGGAAAAAATTTTCTCCGTTGTGGACACGACAAAAGGCTACTAGCACGTAGAGCTTGACCATGAATCCAGCCTATTGTGTACCTTCAATACGCCATTTGGTCGATACAGATTCAAACGCCCACCGTTTGGCATAGTTGTGCTCCAGGACATTTTCCAACGAAGGCTGGATGACATTTCCAGGAACATCCCCAATGTTACAGGAATCGCCGACGACATCATCGTTTTCGGTTCCACCCAAGGGGAGCACGACGACGCCTTCCTAAACATGCTAGCTGCCACTCGAGCCAACAATGTCAGCCTCAATTCAGAAAAACTCCAGTTCAAGCAGCAGAGCGTCAACGTCTACGGCCATACACTGACAACACAAGGCATCTGCCCTGCAGCAGATAAGTTGGAAGCGGTTAAAAACATATCTGCACCGACCAACGCTAAGGAACTCTCATCCATCCTGAGGCTGCTCACCTACTTAAACCGCTTCTCTGCTTAGATAGCGGAATACACCGCACCACTCCACACACTAACAAAGAAGAATGCTCGCTTCAAATGGGGAGACCATCATCAGGCGGCATTGGACAAGATCAAGGCAGAACTTTGCTCAGCACACATCTTATCTTACTATGATCCTGATCCAGTTACGACTACCATCCTGCAGTGTGATGCGAGTCAGGCAGGACTAGGAACCTGGCTATGACAAGTCGACGCAACCGTTAATGAGAGAATTGTGGCCATGGCATCAAGGTCACTCACGGACGCCGAGTCTCGATATTCCAATATTGAGAGAGAGAATGCCTGGCAGTAATGTTCGGCCTTGAGAAATTCGAGTTCTATCTACTAGGGAGGCATACCTTGGGTGAGACTGACCACTCACCACTTGAACAGGTCAAAAAAAACATCCCCGAAGCTCCTGCACGACTGCAAATACTTCTCCTGCGATGCCTGAAATTTGACATTGAAGTAAATTATTGGCGCGGAGAAAACATCCCTGTTGCTGATGCCCTGTCACGCGTATGTCTGAAGAAGGAAGAACGTATCCCTGTGAGTAACAAAAGCGAGTGGTGTAGCCCTGACTCCAACATCCACTTCATAACGGAGAAATCCTGTCCTATGAGCATCGATTTGGTGAAATCAGCATTAGCAAGGATCAAGTCAATGCATGTGTTAAAACAAATCATCTACAATGGATGGCCAAGTCGAAGAAACGAGTGCCCAAAGGAATTATGGGAGTACTGGAATCACAGGTGTGACCTAACCCGAGGATGGCGTTATTCTCAAAAGCGATAGACTAGTTCTGCCAGAGTCTCTGCGAGGTCAGGTGCTAGATCTAATAAAAGGCGGATTTTGTGGTTATTTTTTGGGCAAATTTCGTTAGACATCGATCGGTTTTGCCCTGATCAGACCAGCGTTTTTGATGTTTTTCTAACAGAGGTCATCATTTGCTCTTTCAACAACAATGCGCTCCAGAAATGAACCAATGGCAAAGCCTTTAACATCATGGCTAGTGCCCAGTTTTTCGCAACATAATCTACGCCTGGTAGTCTAGGAACGTTGTTTGCACGTTTCAGTGACGAAGTTTTGACATAAGTTTGCGAGTTTACGGCAAGTAAATACCCCCAGTAGCTGAGACAAGTTTCAAAATTGCTGTACAGATATTTATTTGATAAGATTTCTAGCGAATTTCGCGGTATTTTGCCTGTTTTTGTAAATTTCGCTGGATTTCGCGGATTTACCTGAATTTCGCGGCTCCGCGACCGCGCGAAATATCAGAAGCCCTGACTTGTATGCTGAATTTTTCAAGTAAATGAATTATTTTTTTGCTGTCTTTCCATGCAGTGTTTATTACTGAATTTTGTTTCGGCCGATTGCTGAAAATAGCTGTCATCAAAAGAATACCCAACCTCTACTCATTTCCAGTATTCTTCGGCCAAGTTTATTTTGTTTTGGTTTTGACTTCAACCAATCACAATGCGCGAAACCGGTATTCAGAAATGGTTATGGCTCGAACAGTTTATAGGAATCTAATTAATTTTAAAATTTTGGAGCAGGTGTCTTTAAGCTGCATTGTTTAAGATAGCTCTCCTCTCGCTGTGCCGGGTATGAAGACGAGTTCTAGTTTTGGCTCAGCAAAGTCAACCCTAAACGGCGTCACTACACAAATCTGACCCACAAGGCCCTGTTTATTGTGCATTGTGCGTGCTTATACCTAGAATGCAGGAATTTATTGAACGCCACAGGTTGTATGACTTGTTAGCATTGTATATGTTTGGCTGCGCGATGCGGGGTACATTTTGTAAAATAAACGCGTATATTTTACACTCCAAAAAGTGACTCCAGAAACATTTTGAGCAGGTTTAAAGACTGGGTAGGTTTTTTTAGACGTATCAACTAAAACAGAGGGAAAATTTAATTTCGTGTCACGTGGACTTTTTGGGCGCGTCAATGGTGTTAAAAGTGTATATCTTTAGATGTCAAAAGCAATCGGCGAATATTTCGTAGCATTTTTTATAGAAGGATTTTTTTGAAATTAAAACCATCACGTTACATGATTATGTAAATATTGTTACCACTTTCAGTAACACATCCCATCAGCTTTATAACGTGTGGGTGAGGTTGAAGTTTCTTCATCACTTCAAGTTCTGACATCAAATCCTCTTTGTCAGTCTCGCGGGCGTTATCTGCAAGTTTAAGACGTACTAAGGAAAACCGTAAAGCGTAACTCGCATTTTAACCAGACAGGGTTATCATTAGCAAGAGGACAGGGTTTTCTCTAGGTATTACAGTACAAGCATGAACTCAGCCTGGCTTCTTTCATGTGAAACATGAATAAAATAGAACCAAACGAACCTCCAATACAAGCTTTTAAATACATCTCCTAACTGTATATATCTTCACGGAAATGTCTAATTCTTAGTGATAGCCTAAAAAGACGAAATGACTACTAAAACGGTATGTTAAAATTTTTTTACTCCGGGATATTCCGCGTTTGCTCGCTATTTTGCATTCCTAGTGGTGCGGACGTACTCTAGTGCAGGTGGAAATACGGACGTGTTAGTAAATTTCTCTAACCATCTCCTAAACCTCTATTTACTAAGTAAGATATATATTGATAGACTCACTAACTTTTATGATCTCCGGCGATCTTTTTAGCCTCAATGATAACAGTAACAGTAATATAAATCCATCTCAATTCACTTCTTAATAATGTTCGTAGTAGATATTATTCTCATCTTCCGTTTACAAAGGTTAAAAAACCTAGCCACTATTGCTTATCTTTTCTTCATACTAATACCATGAGTTGAAAATGCCATCTAATTTCCTAAAAAAAGTATAATTTTATTCTACTTTTTTCTCTTTCAACCTTCTTTAAACTTATTTGTATATGATGTAATTAATATAAATTACTATTTTATCTGTGCCTGACCCGTCTCTCTCAGTGTTCCTGATACAGTTGCGGGTCAGCACCATCTTATACATTTGTTGTCGTTATCGTACAGTTGTTTGGTGTCCCAGGTATGCCCCTTGTGCAACCGGATCTTCTTTAAAGACACATGCCATGAAAAGGAAAACATAACACAGTCTTAGCCTGATAGGGTACCTTTCAACATCTTAATGGCCACTCTTGTCGTTCCATCTCTCCCTCGCAGCTCTGAGGCTGTCCCTTGAGCAACCTGTCCAAATGCACCTTTTCCAATCACCTTTTCAATGGTGACGTTTTCTCTTGGAACTTCCCAGGATCGAGTTGCTGGATGCAAAGGAGCATATTCATTAATCTCCAAATAAGGTGATGCCTTTGTTCCTGTTTCTACTGATTCGCCAGGGAACTCTGTAACTTCTCCCAACTCCATGTAATGTCTTGGACCCGGAATTCACGGTCTCCATTGTTCCCGCTTTCATTTTGGAAACCTTGGTTCTGTTAATTGGAATTATACCTTGCAGATATTTTGGAAGCATTATCGCCAACCACAGAGGATTTAATAGCTTTTTCGATAAAATGAACTAATGGGTATGAATATGCAAAGTTATTTATCCCGAGGCCTCAGCCTGCCTACCCACTTTTAGTACTTACCAAGTAAAATCTGCGTAATTCCTTTTCACTATCATATTGTCTAAGTAAATAAAACATGTTATCAGATAGAAGCAGTGACGTATACTCTACATTGTTTACTAGATATACTAGATATAATACACGACGCGTGTGAAACATGTTTCCTGCTTGTCCTTGAACGCAAGAAGTATTGTCAACAAGAGAGTTGAATTGGCCAGTCGCTTATCGTCTATCAGTTTTGATTTAGTCGCTGTTACTGAAACGTGGCTGGATTCTTCAATTAACTCAGCTGAAATCTTCCCTAGTCGTATCATGTGCATCGTAAAGACCGCTCACGTAGTGGTGGAGGAGTATTGCTAGCCTGTTCTCAAAATCAGCAGCATCAGAAGATCGCAGCTTCAAACTGATTGTGAAATTATGTGGTGCGAGATTGCAATTTCAAACCCATATTCTCGTATAATGGTTGGGGTTCTTTATAGACCTCCTTCTACAGATGTTTCGTATTTGCTGGAATTGGAAAAATCGTTTTGCCTGGTAGAGAGAAGTGGTAACACCTTAACTACTTTATTACTTGGAGATTTCAATCTACCCAACATTGTCTGGTCCAATCCGTCTTGTCCAATTGGTTCAGATACGTTATCCTCGACGTTCTGCTCCATATTTCAAGATTTTTTTTTTCCATCAAATGGTCTTGAATCCTACTAGGGGCAACAATATTTTGGATTTGGTGTTATCTACGGCTCCTGATCTGTTGTTTGACCTTAGTGTTAATGAAGGACTTGGCAGCTCTAATCATAGTTCCATTGAATTTAATTTGAGGCTCAAAATCTTAAGACCTAAGCAAAGTCCTAGGATTGTTTATAACTTTGGCTCTGCCAGTTGGAATAATCTACGAGATGGATGATATAAATGATGTTTGGGATGCTTGGAAAGCTCTGTTTATGGAGGCAGTTGAAAGTAATATTCCAACAAAGTCGCTGAAGCATAAAAGGAATGCACCATGGTTTAATTCTGAATTAAGAATCCTAGTTTTGAAGAAAAGGCGTTTGTGGAGGAAAGCAAAATCCTCAAGGGACCCTGTTAAATGGGCTCAATACAAGTCCTTTAGCAATAAGATGAAGGATAGTTTGAACAAAGCGTACCGGAATTATGTTGCTAATCTAACAGCATCTTTGCCTTCCAAGCCGAAAAAATTTTGGTCCTTTGTAAAATCACGCACTGGTAATGCTAGTATTCCCAGCTGTGTTCAATATGATGGTCAGTCTGCATTTACGCCAAAAGGGAAAGTTGATTTGTTTAATAAATTCTTTCATAGTGTATTTAGTGAAAGATCTGGAGGATCTTACACCTTTACACCTTTCACTAAGGGCACCGTTGATGACTTGTCATGTTCAGTGGCTGATGTTTACAAAGTTCTTAGTTCCCTTGATGTAAACAAGGCGGTTGGTCCTTATGCAATTTCACCTAGAATTCTGAACGAATGTGCTGCTGAGTTGGCACCATCAATATCACAGCTGTTCAATTTTTCATTGGATTATGGCAAGTTACCAAGTGTCTGGAAATCTGCCAATGTTTTTCCAATCCATAAATCTGGTGAACGAACTTTGGCTGAAAATTAAAGACCAGTTTCTCTTACAAGTATTTTAGTGAAGTGTTTGGAGCGTATCATCCATAAACATATTATGAAGTTCTTAACACATCATGGGCTGCTGAGTGAGAACCAGCATGGTTTTAGAGAAACTCGTTCATGTGTCACTCAACTTCTTCAGCTGCTACACTCATGGTACACTTCTCTTGAAAAAGGTGACTCAGTCAACGCGATCTTTCTGGACTTTGCAAAAGCCTTTGACAAGGTTTCTCATCATCATTTGCTTTATAAGTTGCAGTTTTATGGTATTCGGGGTCATTTGTTTTCCTGGTTTCATGACTATCTGTCAGACCGTACAGAAAGAGTCTTATTGGAGGTCATTCATCAGAATGGATGGAGGTGTCCTCTGGTGTTTCTCAAGGGAGTATATTAGGGCCACTTCTTTTCCTGCTGTATATAAATAACTTCCCCCTTAGTGTAAGCTGTAATACAGAGCTTTTCGCTGATGACAGTGTACTCTATCGTAAGATCGCATCTGTAGATGATTGTGTTGAGTTTCAAGATGACCTCTTGTCTGCCGCCTCCTGGTGTGACTTGGGGAAGGTCACGCTGAAGTCGGAAAAGTGTAAGGCTCTACATGTTACCAAGTCCAATTGTCCTTTAGTTCATCAGATAAATGATAAATGAGAATAATCTGTCGGCTGTTGATAAACATAAGCACTTGGGCATTTGGATTGAATCTTCTTTAAGGTGGGACGCTCATATCAATTACATTGTTGGTAAGGCAAATCGAGTATTGGGCCTAATAAGGAGAACGTTTGGGTTTAAAGATTCTGTGCCAATCAAAATAGTCAGGTGGCTAAAGGCTCAGATCTATACAGAGCGGACAAAAGCACCAGACTTTGCATGGTTGTAGCTAAGGGTATGTTAGTCAATATTAGGATCGGTGCCAACAGCTACCTCTTCAGGATTTGCAGCAACTGCTCGCTGAAGTTCTTCAACAACCTTCAATGTTGGGTGCCCTGTGCTGAAAATTGCAATCCCTTGTTTTTTGCCATTTTTTTATGACAATCACATAAAAAGACAAGTAGATGGAAAAAGAAACTGTATTAATACTAGTATTATTGAAACCAATGACTATAACAAGTCAAGTTAATGATATAGCAATTCTGATATACCATGGTGGGTGCCCTGTGCTAAAATATCAATTCCTTGGTTTTTGCCATTATTTTGATGAAAATAAGATGAAAGACATGAAAATAAAAAAGAAATTGTATTATTATTGAAACCAATGACAAAAACAAGTCAAGTAAATGGAAAATCAAGGCAAGATGTTTTCAGACGCGTACTAAGTCCCAAATAGCCTTTCAAGATGGCGGCTTGAAGGTGTCTTTTCAAGGACTGTAAGTATCTCCTAGAATAAATTACCGTTTTTTAGAGGAAATTGTGTACAATTTGAATGGCGACATGTTTAAGTGAAGTTTTAAGCTCTTCTTGGTGATAAATTTGTTATCGAAAGCCACATATCGCTTCATGTTTTGTCCCGATTATGAATGACTATATTACTGAGTTTATTAACTTACTGGTTAGTTAAAAGTTTCTGAAGCTAAGATGTTTCCTACACTCCAGGATGGATATTAACTGGGATCGTTGTTATATTTGCCAAGAATCAACAAAAGAAGATCTGAGTAGCCCATTGGTTTAACGGTACAAGCATTTATAGAACGCTCCTTGAAAATGTACTAACTGACTTGCGAAATAGGCATACATGTCAGAGGAACGCAAGAAGAAAAGTGGAGCAGCTTAGAAGGCTGAGGAAGACGAGGAATTAAATAAATCAAGAGCATTTGTTGAACTCACTGAGAACATAGCAAATGCAGTGGAGAATGATACACATTTCTTTATCCTTGCCGAACTTCATATTAAGCTGTATTCGTTACATACAAAGGCACACACTTTGCAGTCCCACCATAGTGTCAGTCTTACAAGCTCGTTTAGTGCCACAATCTACAACTTGCTGTTTCTGGTCTGCTTCAACATGCTTGTTTCTCTTTTGTAGTTTGCTTTTTCGAACTTGGACGTTAAGGTGACAGGATTGAGGCCACTTTGCACTTCAGTAACGTGTTTACTACCGTAGTGATTTTAATATCAAACTCAATTGCAACAGGAACACAGTCCTCTTTCTTGAATTCTATAAAATTGTCAAAGAGCGTTCTACAAATAATTGCTCCGTTAAATTAATGGGTTTCTCAGATCCTCTCTTTTCGATTCTCACCCTAGGTAAATATGACAACGATCCCAACTGATTTCCATCTTGGTGTGTAGAAACGAGCTGAAACTCAATCATGGTAAGACTGAAATCATGCTTATCTTGTCGATGTACCGTACTCGTCTACCCTTTAGCGACTTCATTATGGGTAATGCAAGGCTAAGAACCACCGCCAACAAAGCCTGAGAGTAGTGTTTGATGACAACGTGCTGTTTGACGCACACATCTCAACATTCTTTTGCCGATTATCGTTTTGCCAACTCAGGAACTTATTAAAGATAAAAAAGTGTCTCACACAGGAGTCTAGTGGAATTGTTGTGCATGCTTTCATTACATCTAAAATAGACTATTAGTTGCCATTCCTTGTTCTGTGGTTGTAGGAAAATGCACTTGAAAAAACTTTTAATAATATGTTCAGAACACTGCCCCCAGGATCGTTATTCGGACTCGTAAACTTTGTGAACACATCGTTTATTTGACCTTCACTGGCTTCCTGTTAGTTATCAAGTTGTTTTTAAACTTTTTTTGTCAGTTTTTAAATAACTTAATAACCTTCCACCTAGCTATCTAGCGGACAGACTTAGTTATCAAAGGCCTTCCAGGAACTTGTGGCCCGCATCTCAGCAGCTCTTAGAACAACCTCGAAAACTCATGAGGACAAGACTTTTTCAGTGTGCGCCCCTAAACTGTGGAACTCACTACCATTAGCTAGATTTGCACAAGTCACCAGCCAGTTGAAAGAAAGGACTGATAACATATCTTTTCACGCAATTTTTAGAGAGTAAGTCAATATTTTTGTAAAACGTCTTTAATATCTGCAGATCATATACCTATACTTATAGAATGTATATTCAATCAGTTTTTTGCATGACTTATTATCATTACATATAAGGTCTAG